TATATATATATATATATATATATATTTTACCGCAAGAGTTGAAATTTGTTTTGGGCTGCAAAATCCAAGCAGCCTAAAAGTCTAAATGGCCCAAGCTAAAAATAATTTCAAATAGAATAAGATTGAAAAGGTGAAAAATGAAAATGAGTTCAGTTGTTAAAAAATGACTTTAATCAGGCATTATTTTCGAAATTCTCACCAAATGAATTAGGACAAAGCAGAGTATTTACAATGTACAAATAATATAACTTTTAAATGCAAATATTTAAGTTTCATTTGGTGGATATTTATATTTTTATTTTATAAAAAAATAGAAATAAAATAAATAATTAAAAAAAATCTAACCATATATATAACCCAATAAAACTGTATTGGTTGGAGTAAATGAAATGACTATTATTTCAAGACTCTTTTAGCGTTTCCTCCGAGAAGAATCACTTGAAATCGGGCGGTGCCGCTATGTACTAAAAATCACTTGAACAAGTTAAAGTTGCAAAAAGGCCAATTACAAATGTCTTTTGCTTGCAACGTTTCTTAAAAACCGCTCTGCTCAAGAGACACTAAAACCGCTAATGGCTGCACCTACGTACCTTTCCCATTCATATATATATATATATATATATAAATATATATATTTCTAAATCATCCAATCAATTCGAAATTCCTTAGTAATCCATTTCCACTTCTAGCTTTAACAGGAAATTCCTTAGAAATTCCTCTTTATTTGTAAGTAATTCTTCTCAGAATTCCATTTGGAGGCCATCTACACTACATGGCAAGAAAAAAAATACTTTTTCATTTTCTTTTCCTTCTTTTTGTTCTTTCTGTGAAACATCACTCAATGTTCACCCTGAGTGAATATTGGTTCGGGTTTTCATGTTAAATTGTGTACCCGACAAATTAAGTAGCAATAAGTCCTGTTGGGATTATACTATTAATTCCCCTTTTGTTGATCAATGATGTTGACTTTTCACCATGTTAAATTAATGCTAGGCCCATGAAGTAGGCCTAATCGCCAATTCGGTTTGAGTTGTTCAAATAGGATTAGCCATAGTAGTTATGAAATATATTGTAGAGTTAATCGCAAACAAGGG